ATTTCCATGCATAGCAGCAAGGCTTATGGCTGTATTGCCAGTATTATCTTTTAATTGAAGGTCTTCCTCTGACATTCTGCTTACCAATAACTCAACAATGTTCAATTGACCAGAAGCAATTGCCGCATTCAGAACAGTTCTATAATTCAAGAATTCAGCCGTTAATGGAAAGGAGTGGCTGTTAAGGAAGTTGATCACGGAAGCTAAGTCACCACTATAGATATTCTTGAGCAAGGTCAAAAGGCGATTGCGTGAAGGAATTTCGATACCTGCATTATATTATTTATTGTCTTTCAAATTTAAGAAGAAGATAAATAATCAAAGCATGTAATAAATTATTTTTCTATTGTCTCCCTTATTCTTGGCTAAAAAATCTCAGACATGTGTCTCTCACTATTAAGCAAAGTTTAAAATATAGAACATAGTGCTGGTGAACAGAGGAGGGGGAGTTTGGAGAGGGAGATGGTTTGGGTGGTGTCAGAATAGACTAGGAGAAAAGGAGGGTAAGAGACACTAAGTTCAAACACTTGGATTTTAGATGTACAGTTGGAAAATAGCATTAGGAAAAAATTCAAAACAAAAAGAAAAGGAAAAAGAAGAAAAAAAAAAAAGGAGGAAAACACAGGTACTACAGTTTATGTAAAATGTGACACAATGACATGGCTTGAGTGGACGTTGTGCTCTGCGCAGCTTCCGCTTGGGTTCCCTGGCTTTTTAACGCAGCGGTAAGGTGGAAGGCTGGTCGGACTCACTTAACTTCCTGGTCGCAGGCCATCTCAAATGAGACCATCATTGCAGGTACTGCTGTCAATGGACACGGAATGTGCAGGTACTCTCGAAGGCTTGCTTGTTTGTGAATGGCTTATGGGAACTCTGTCTCATGTTGCGAGATCACCTTTCTACCTTGAGAAAATTGTTGGGCTAGGATGGTTGCTTGTTTGGGCTACAGCCTCAGTGTTATTGAAAGCAGGGCGTCGGCGGGCTTGTGGAATCGATATCTGTGATGGAGTGGACTGTTTTCCACCTTTGTGCCTTAATGGCTAAGTGGCCAAACAAGGCTTACGTTGAGAAACTTTAGATTTGGGATTAGTTTAGGAGTAGGACATATGTGGGTCTAGCTTTAGTGGCTGTGGATGAGGGGTATCTGGGTTGCAATGGGATGATCTTAACCTGGTTCGGGGTTCTTCTGTAACGCCTGGGCAGTACGTCTTGTGTTCAGGGGGTATTTCTTTGTTTGTTTGTTTTTTTTTTTTTAAAGATGGCATTTTATTGATAGCGAAAGCTTGAATGCAAATTGTCTTAAACTTGATGGCAAAAGACTCCTTTTGACATAAAAACGAGCTTTGAGAACAGTCAGTAATTACACAATTTCACCTGCTAAAAGGAGATTGGCAGCACCCACAGCAACTACACAGTTTCAGTTTTTTGGGGTATATTTTGATCCTATTTGGCAACCAGATGCATTTTTTAAATTTTTTTCAGCACCCAGAGGAAGCCATGACAGGGCATGTATTGTTAATGGCTCCTTGCTCCATTACTGCATGTGGTAGTATTTTGTATATTTTCTAGGTAATGAAATCTTTCTTGATGCTTTTCAATATACATATAAATATTGAAATTAGTATCACGTACAAGGAAGTATGGTGATTCTTATTGCTATTGACCCACATGTGCATAAACATAAAACTAAAACTATTAGGACAAAATTGTGTTTTCGAAGTAAAATTATTATTCCCTACGTACACTTAGTGATGGTGAGGTTTTAAAACTTCAAACTTGAATTTGCATTTATGTACCAAAAAATAGAACTTCAAATTTGCTTTCAAGTATTAACACAGTATTTATCAAAATCCGATAATATTTGTTCAACTTCTGAAATAATGAAATCAACTTTAATGCCTTTCAAAAAAAAAATATTAACACGGAAACTTTCAAATTCCTTATTTATAATTAAGTGGATATATGTAATTACATAAATTCATTTAAAAATTTCTAAAAACTTTAATATTGATATAAAAGGGTAAATTTCCATATAGATTACCTAAAGGGACTTACCTATAGAACCCTAAATATAGAAATGAAGATAACAAAGCAAGCATTCAAATCTGGAAAATGAGAAGGTAGTTATTTTTTGTTTTAATCATTTGGAGGACTACCAGAACGCTCCAACTTTGGAAAGAAACCAGAGCCCAAAACAGAGGGTAACAAGGTCCCAGGCTCCCAACCACCACCGAATGTCTACAAGGTGAATTTCGATGGTGCTTTAATCAAATTGGAGTGGAAAGGAATAGCTCAAGAAGGAGGCGCATTGCAAAAGAAAATGGCTTGGCTAATCATGATATTTATTTTCCCCATGATGTTTCATCCCAATTATAATATTAGTGAGGTAAGTATAGAATCTTAACTGGGTATCTGCATGTTAGTTGGTTGACATTTTGGTTTTAAGAGTGGGATAGAGTTCAAATCTCTACAAGCTATAATAAGATTTCCTAATGTGCTGGAAAAAGAGAGAGATATAACCTGATGCACTCGGTTCAACCACTACTAACTGGAATTCAGCCCCTTCAACT